GTTCTTGTAATGCTCATGTAATTCCAATGAAACAAATCGGTAGTTATTATCACGCTTTTCAGTTACACATATGGTTCAACGATGCGCTCTAGGGTAATGCGTGTTCTTAAAAAACTGGACATTCATTCTCTCTTTTTTTTTTTTATAATTCCAGATTTCATATTCTTCTATATAATATAAAATAAACACGCGTAATTTGCTAACAACGATCATTCTACAACCTTGGTAAGTTTTCAATATACGATTCACCAGGAGCAAAGTAAATAGATATTCAAATCTTTTATGATCTGTTTTAGGATAAAATAAAATCAAAAATTTTTGTTCGAGAATGATCTTTTATTTCAGCTAAATCAAAATTAATAACTCTTCACGTATAATAATACGTGACTCTTGTTTCCTATGATCTTTGATGTTGTTGATATTTACGGAACATGTTTGTGTACATAGAAACTTGTTTTACAATAATTATAACGATTTATTTTTCAGAGCATGACGATTAAGAGGTCGTAAAACAAGAAGAAGAAACAGACGAACATCATTGATATCATTGTGTTTATTCAAATAAGAATAATGAACGATGCATATTTTGATCATCATATATCGCCATTAGACATCGTTCATCGACCTTTATTTCTCACTTTATGTTGGTGGTCATGTGGTCGTTATTTATAACAATAACAACAATATATTTTGTGTCGGTAAAACGTCTATCATTCGTTTATTTCATGTTAAAATTAATCATTTGTAGTTCATTATCATATTCTATTAATGATATTCGATATCGTCTAAGTGATCGTGTATTAAGTATTCCAAAAATAGGTACATTACGCGGATTATTAATTGAGTACGATATTAAACCATATAATGTCAACTATAGTCTAATTAATGTTGAAGCATTTCTGGTAGAGAATAATCTTTTTGATATACTATGATACAATTTTTTATTATTCCTATTATTTTAGGGTATACAATATGGTATTTATAGTGGAAGATTCGAACCATCAAAGGAAAAAATAGAAATACATCGACAACAAAATCCAACAGTTGAAAAAATGATTCATTTTGGTCCCGTTTGTCCACAACGTTTATGGAATAATGATAGTGAATTAGAAAAATATCGTTCAAAAACATTTATTAAATATTATTATAAAAATTTATTAAAATTTATTCAAAATCAAAATGAAGATAATTGTCTCTATATGAATATATACCAACCTCAAGTTCAACATTCAAAAGGTAAATTCTTTTACATCGAATTATAGCGAATATTTTGATGAAGTTTTACTAAACGATAACTCTCTTCTTCTTCTTCTTCTTTTATCACATAAAATCTTATATTTTCACTTAAAACCAGGCAACTAGTGGAATATAAGTACTAAATTATCCTTAGAATCTATAAATGAACAGTAAGTTGTCATACATTTGTGACTATATACTGATATATTTCTATTTCTATAAACAAATATGTATGATTGATGTTTAATAATTTATCTTTTTATTGAATGCAAAAAATTTTTTGTGATTTTTTTTTTCCTGTAGACAATGCGGCAATTTTTATTAGTACTCATCTGATTACTAGACATGGACACAGTGATATAGTTGCTTGCATTCTCACTGTCTTGGCACCTTTAATAAAGCGTACGAGTGAGATAAATTATCCACGATGATTGATAACAAACTCATCATCATTGATTGATCATTTTAGGAACTAAAAATCAGAAAATTTTGTTAATAATTTAACATAAATTTTCAAACTTTAATGTCATTTATAAACTGTCATTCATGTTTAATCTATTTTCATGTCTCGTATAAGTAAAATATATCTCAGGACAATATACTGTGAGATTAATAAATTATAATTAGAATAGAATCGAAATTATATACATGCACATAATTATTCGATATATCTTGTGCATCACGAAGGTGTATAAACATATTAATTCTCCTTTGACATTTTATCTCATATTTTATATAGTGAACAGATTTATACTGTCTTTCTATGTTTAAAACAAAAACAGATTTTTTTAAAAGATATTTTTTTTTTAAAAATAAAGATTAAAAATTGAGAAAGAGTATATGATCAACATCGTATATCAATAACAACGATAACATATTGTATCTCATTACTATCCAAATATAAATTAAAATTTAATTTACATTCGTAAATTAAAAACAAAATGTCTTTAAATATTTGGATTATTATCTTCTCAATTAAGACATGGATATAAGAAAATAAAATCTATTAGAAATAGTTGTTTTTATCTTGATCCAATTGACAAATTGAAGATATTCTGAGAAATTTTTCTCATATTTTTGAACATTTGATGGGCAATATGAGTCAAAGACGTCGTTGTTGTTATTGATGAAATATTTATTTTTCTGTATTTTGTTTTTTAGAGTTATTACCAGTCTTATTATTTATTCATGGTGATGGTTTCGATATGGGTACGGGCAATGCTTTTGATGGCTCAATATTTGCCAGTTATACAAAAACGATTGTGGTTACAATTAATTTCAGATTAGGACCTTTTGGTGAGTGAAAAACATATTCAATAATAAAATTAAACGTTTATCATAAATGTTCAAAAATAAATTAATCTCCAAAAAATTAGAGAAAATATTGTCCAATTTTTAGTTCTACAGTTAAAACGAATCTTTTTCTTTTTCTTCTCCATAATTTTTATCAGTTTTGATATTGACTTTTTGTATAAAAAAAAAAAAAGATAAGAAAAGTCATTATCTAAAGTTCAACGATCTATATTGTAAGGTTGACTACGTAGTGATATCATTTCCTGTGATTGTCTTTTCGTTTCCGGTTAGCTATATTAAAAAATATTCTCAATAATAAACAGTCTCATGAGTGTAGATATATATTGAAAATGTGTGGTCATTCACCAGTCATTTAAACCATCAATTTGATGATTAAACATTCACAATCATTATTAACGTTATTCAAGCGAAAAATAAAATGTAGTTTAAAATCAAATATAAATGAGTTGTATGTGTGTCTGTGGAGATGAATAAATAGAACAAAATGGGAAAATAAAGTTCTACTTTTTATACAAGAAATAAAAAAAAGAGAGAAAGAGAAATTATTCTAGTATTATTTGGTGTATAATGATCTATGAAGAGACGATAGATTCGAACAAAATATTTCTCATTTATATCTCAATTGTGTAATTACAAGAATTTAATCAAAAAAAAAACAACAAAAACGAATATAATTTATAGAGATAAATTACAGAAGAAAATTTATATATAGACGTTTACTCACTAGTTTTTAACTGTAATATTAACGCTTTATGAATGAATGATGATTCAATTTTTTTAATAATTGAACAGTATGTCATCAGTAGACAAATTTGTCATTTTAAATAGATTTATCTAATACATTTCAAGAATGAAAATGAGAAACAATACAAAAAAAAAATGGATTCTGTCGTCTCATTTGAGAACAATTTAACTATGTGTAAGTTCTCATTTTCTTTCTCTCTTTTTTTTTTTATTAGAAATTCTAATTAAAGAGATGACGTATTATGATTATCTTTGTGAAAAACGATCTCGTTTGACATTTTCACTCGGGTATATATCATCATCATTAATATATCTTTAGTTAAACAAAAAATAAAAAATGATATATTTATTTTAAATATCATCACCATGCTACCATATATTTTTTTATACTAAATTTATTTGATGATTTTTAATTGAGATCATTACCAAACATGTAATATGTCTTCATTATTATGTTTACGTTTATTATATAACACATTAATAGATCATTCTTGTATGTATATATACATAATAATATTAATGAATCAGTATATGACAATAAACTTCTCTAATGCCAAAGAAAAAAAGTTGTCCTTATTGAACAAAAAAAAAATATATATATAGAACTATCAATCAACGTTATTTTTATTTATTTTTTCGAACAAAATAGGATTGATTTATCGAACTTAGTAAACAGATTGGTGAGAGAATATATTTGTCAATGTATGATAGGAAAAGGTGGAAAGTTTTCTATATAATCTATGTGAAATAAAAGAGCTAATTTATTTTTTTTTTCTACTTTTTCATCTTTCATTCATTTCACACATCAACTGTCTAAAAATGCATGTGTAGAAACTAATAGAGATTATCATTTCCCCTAGGAATACAAGAAAAGACATCATTTTGATGGACAAAGAATTTTGTGTTTCATTTGCCTTCATCAAACAGTTTTAACGGACACAATTCAAGCAAGGTACAAAGAAGCAATCTCGTTTCTGTTATAAATCGAGAAAATGCTAGTTTAATTGATAAATCATTCATCTTTACAATACAACAATAGAACAAAAATTCTAGATAAAGTCGTGCATTCTACTCCTATCCGCTGACGAAAAATTGTCGTGAGATATTTTTCGAATAACTGCTCAAAGAAAAACTTAAGTAAACTCAACATTAACTCAAACTACTGGCACTGCTTCTTACATTGAGAAAGAAAAAATTTCATAGAACAGCTTTGCGCAACATGATAAGTTTTTTGAAAGACTCCTGAAGTTTCAACAAAAAACCAGATGAAAGTTAGATTTGATTGTCTGACTCATCTATTAGGATTATAAACCCATTAGATGTTCTTTGAATGACAATTTCTTCTTTTAAAGATGAATCAAATATTTTATCTTAAAATGTTGTTTTGAACTTGATTTTTTCATATGTTTATACATCTTGATTTTTTTGTTACATATTGAACAAAATGACAGATTTCTTAACCAAGGGAGTTTTTCTTTCAGAAATTATTCGAAAAAATATCTCACAATAATTTTTCATCAACGAATAGGAGTCGAATGCTCGACTTTATAATAACTAAAATTGTATGACATGATACAGATGAATGATAAATTCTAGAAAAGAAAAAAGATGAAAATAAATTCTAGATACAGATGAGTGATTTATCAATTAAACTAACATTTTCTCCCTTTCTATACATCGGTGATTTATAACAGAAAAGAGATTGTGCCTTGAATTGTGTCCGTTAAAATTGTTTGACAAGGAATTGTTTATTTTACAGTATGTGTAAAGCTTATTAGACAGACATAAATTCTTTCTTTCTTTCTGTTTTTTTTTTTTATTTGACCAAAGATAGAGTGACTTTTGAATTGATTACATTCTTTTAATTTCACTTGCTCGCTCTCAATCAAACTATTTAACAATACACGGTTTGTCTGTCATCATTGCACTTTAAATGAGCTGGAAGAAAAAGTAATTCTTTATTTAAAAGCATGATGTTCTTTTTTTATACATTTTCAAAGCGAAAGAAAAAAAATGCATTTATGAGACGACAATGTTGCTCAATAAACATTCAATTAAAAAGAATAGTCTAAATAATAATATCATCATGAATAAAAAATTCATTTTTCTTCTCAAACAAAAGATAGGAGAAAAAAAAACGGAAAAATGTATCGTTAAAAAAACATTTCCTCAAGAATTAAAAAATATTGGTAGACAATATTTCAATCACGGGAATAACGATGACAATTTGTGTTCACTTGACGGTCAAACATACGTCACATTGCTCATGACATCGTCTTAAAATAGAGCGTCAAAGTTAATTTGAGTGAATTTCTTAGAATAAATAATAGAGCGTCTTTGTCCTTCCTTACATATTTAATTCTCGTTTACTACAATATCATGACAAGTCGTGTGTGAGCAGAAGTTTTATTTAAATAACTATAAACCTCTTTTTTTTTGAGAAATCTTGAATAGTATACTATTTTCATTGGATTGTCTGTCATTCTATTAGATTGATCGTTACATAAACTGTAAAAAAAAAAACGAAGTTTTTCTTTTGCATTTTGAAGTAGTCTAATTTTAGAATAATTGATATTTCATGCAATGTTATAATCGTCTTTATATAAAATCTCTTCGATACTAAATAGTAGTTTTAGTCACGAATAGATAAAAATAAAAAAATTACTTTAATTTTACAAGGACATTACCTGAGATTATGACTAAACTGAACTGGATATATCACAGAGGAAAAGTATGACTTAATCTGAGTATACTCATCGGGTTTCGATGGTCTAGACGTGATAAAATACATTGAGCAGTTGTTTTTTTTCTAAAAGCATGGCACTTGATACTGCCTAGTAGGCAATATCTATATGTTGTGATGTATATACGGCAAAAGCATTAAAGAAAGAAGACAAACAAAAAGAATATGTGTTTATACAATATGTGATCTTGATCTTATTTGTTCTCTCTTCAATTCTATAAATGCTGAACAGTTGTTCATTCTATATTAACAATGCCAAACAAATACGTATGCCGAATAGAAAACTTAAGACAATGATGTTATTAGACGATAAAATCTTTTATATTTGATGATAATGTTCTTCAAAAACGTTGTGTCTGCTAAATGTGAGAATAGTAATAACACTATAGAATTCGTGTTGAACATAATTAGGAGATACAAAACATTTTATTTCTGCTTTATTTGATCACCTTCAATCAATAAATTCGGAATTAGATTCGGTTCTGATATCAGTGGAAAATGATATGAAAGTTAGAATTTTTATTTTTATTCAGTTAGTTATATACAATAAACAGAATTTTAATGGAAACAAATAAATGTATGATTAAAATGACATGTCAGAGTAATACAAGGGCAATGGAATATTCACAGGATAGAATCAGATCATCGAATTGTATGATTATACAAAAATATTCATCACACTAGATAATTAAAAAACATTATCTGATGACATGTATGAAGATAATTAATCATTAATGTGAATAAAGTATCAATGCACATTAAAATACAATAATTTGTTGTTCATTTAGTTTTCATTCTTTCTTTATCAAGTAGAACTGTTTCGTGATATTCATAAAACAGTTTGCTATTAATAGACTAAACAGCTCTTCCAACCTTTGTTGTTCCATTTCTAGGTCTCAAATATTCATTTTCAAATAGTGCATCAATCTTGTTAGACGAGATATTATATTCTTTTCTTCGTATAGCTTACACTAAGCACTTTCTTATGTCTCACTTTATTTTAGGTTTTCTTTATATCAGCCATGAGAACAAAGGTGATTATGGACTAATGGACATTTATACGGCTCTTCATTGGTTAAAAGGAAATATTGAACATTTTAATGGAGATTCAAATCGTATCACATTGTATGGAACCGGTACTGGTGCTGTTCTTTCTAGTTTAGTTGTTATGCTCGAAACAGTGAATGGTAAGTTAAATTACAGTTTCTTTCAATATGTTCTTAACAATTTATTATCTATTTAGGTGGAACAGGCACAACGAAACGGCGAAAACCACTTGTTAGACGTTTAATTTTAAACGATGCTACTTTTCTTTCACCATTGATGACATCATCAATAGATCCATTTACTACAACTATTCGTGATCCAACACACTATACATCAAATTTTTTCAATACACTCAATTGCACACATAATTTATCTTCACGCGACATCTATTCATGTTTAACAAACAAAACACGGCTGTCAACATCCACTCTACTCTCAATAAATACGTATGTTAATAAATATTATAATTATCTGAATCCATTGGAAGAACCATTTCCATTTTTTTCCAATGGACATTTACGTCATCGTTTTTTCCAACAAACAAATACTCTTTTACCAGAAAAATTTGATGTTCTCATCACAATGTTCTCATCATCATTATCGCAAATAAGTAGTAGTGATTCTACACAATTACAAACATTTATTGAAAATATGTATACGGTATCAAAACATACAATTCATTATTTAATTAAATACGCATATTCTATATGGAATGATAAACTTAAAAAATTTGAATTTAATTTCAATAAATTTTCTTATCATCAAACAATTGTTGCTCCACTTTTACAATATATTGAAAAATTATCAAAAAATACACATACAATAGAATGGCAAATAAAATCTAATAGTCTCAATTATGAGTCAGAATTACCTTATACGTTTGGTTACATGTTAGCACCATCGATGAGTGTTTATAACAATTCATATCTATATGCAAATGAAAATGATCGCATTAAAAGTTTACAAATAATGGATTTATTTGCAAATCTCATACACAATGGGTAACTTTGTGTCTCCTGTTCTTATCAAATATAATTTAAAATACAAGTCTTATTGTTTTAGCGACATCAATATAAATAAAGGTACTTGCAAACATAATTATTGTGATTTGAAAAACGAAAAATTTCAACCAACGTTTCCAGATTTCAACTTTATTATCATAAATGGTATGCAGTGATTCAAAAGTATTTTTTCTATAGGAACAAGTCCTGCGCTGAAGAGAAGTTCAATGACATAGCCTATATGACTGTAAAACGTTTTTTTTTTCTTCAGATAGTAAGATTTATCAAAAACATGGTCATTATGCAAGTGTTCATTATTTATTTAATCATCTAATAACATCGTTATCATCATATTCATCCTCAATGATAAATGAAAATGTAGACTATGAATTGTTACGAGCATGGAAAACGTTATATGAAGTCGCAAATGTCGATAACTATACGACAAATACGAAAAATATAATAACAAAGACAAATAATAAGAAGGATCACCATTATGATTATCTTTCGTCTCAAAAACAGTCGCTATTTTTAACGGATCAATCAATTTGGACATTTAACACAAAATTACTCGTACTATTAGCTCTTACTGGTACAATGTTATTTCTCATTAATGTAGCACTGTGTTTTTTATTAATTACAAAACGATACGTAACAGATCATCATCTTAAGAAAAAAGACTATCAACATTTGAACGGGCATACACCTGTTACAATAGCAAAAAAGGCAGATACTTATGTTTCATCTTCATCGCCTAGCAGCATAAACAGTAATGGAACAGATCCACATATCCTTGAAATGATACCAGCTCCATGTATCACGTCCTATTCTGCGACCTCGACCAATACATCTTCTATTGATCCATTGATTAAAACAACAAATAATTTAAACTCTAATATAAATACAATGATAAATATTTTACAACCGGTGAACGTTATGAACAAAAAAGGTGGCACCATGAAATATATGGATAAAAAACAACAGCGATGTTTGGCGGAAGCAATTGTGTAAAATCATTTTTAGTTTTTAGTTATATTCACGCCAAATCCTTTGTAGGTCAATAAGTTTTTTTTCTTGTTTTTTTGTTATTTTGTCTTCTTCGAAGATTATACACAAAATGGTTTTAATTTCTGCAATAAATGATTAATACAGTGGGAAATCGCATACTCTAACCCTAAACAGGTCATTCCAACAATTTCAACCTCAGTGTCGTATAGTTAAATTTATCAGAATTCATTTTGTCAATATAGTATCAAGAGCAACTACACTGTAAAAAATAATTACGGTAAATGTGGCAAAAAGCAGAAAAATGCAGGATCCACAATATTCCGCATCGTGATGTTTATCCTGGGATATTCTACCATATTGTGAGCAAACTTTTAGCAGAATTTCCATTATGTCTCACAATATGCCACAATTTCGCGAAAAATTATAAACTGTCACAGCATTTTGAGCGACAAGAATATAAGCGTCAAACTGTTACGTGTCAGAGGCTATACACAAGCAGAATCTGGATCAGCTTTTTCCTTCGTCGTTGATTGACATACAACAGAAAATTCACTGCATTTATCAAAACTTGAATATTCATTTGGTATCCCACATACATAGACGAAAAAATAAAGAAATCCGCTTTGAATACATAAATAACTCTTAGTTCTACAACGAAGCGAAAAACTAATCAACAGACGTGACTAGTATCACTACAAAAGCGAAAGCAACAATCTCAGCACATCTGTTTTGGAAAAAGTTGTATTCAAATGGTACGCTTGACTTGCAGTTGTTCCATAATCTGCCCAGTTTATGATAGCATTAAAAAATACGGCAAAACGTAAGGTTTATATGATAATTCTATCGGATTATTACCGTAATAGCGTCAGCAACTATTCAGTCATCATGATTTTTTGCATTGCCAATCGTATGCGATTTACCTTGAATGACTTACTTTTTTCATATATATGGCTGTGGAACAAAGAATCCTTAACAAACTCTTCGTCTAAATGTTGTACTTGATATTCTCGCTTCGATTTCGTGTATGTTTACGTTTTTCATCATTTACCATTGAGTAAATTATATGTCTGAATTTTTATGTTCATCAGTTATTTGTAGATCCGACACCCTAGACAACATTCTACACACTTTTAATAGATTTTCCACTAGGATCCTATTGGATTGTAATATCGAAGATTCTGTTGTGAGTTGTTTAGGATCATAATATTTTTTTAATCACCGTATTTTCTTGGTAGGAGTCCGTTTAGATTCTACCAGCATCCTAGCAGATACTACAATTTTCGCGTATCTCTAATTTCATCAGGATTGTGCAGGATTTTGTTAGAATTCTAGGAAACTCAAGCGAAATCTTAGTAGAATTCACCTAGAATATCCATCTATCGAGGTAATGCTTTTCATACAGTACGTTCTTTTATTGTAAATAAAAATATCTTTAACTGTAGTAAATCTCTCGAAAACACGGCACAAAACTAATTTGACACCACTCAGGTTGTAATTTGTTCAAAATTATATTTTTCATTGAAAAAACATTTCAACTGACTGAGTGTAAAACTAAGTTGTAATGAAATGCGCAGGGATTAAGGAAGAGGGAGAGGAGGTATATTCCAGATATTAATCTTCTTCGACTTACCATTAGTCGTCAAACTTTTATCGGCTTTCTAACATTATCTGGCTGAGAAAAAAATTAATTACTTAAAAAATATTGTTAAATTTTTGAGCAAGGGACTATTATTAAAAGAATTTCTGTCAAGACTCGTTTTGATATACCCAACACGTCTGAAGAAAAATCCCAACTGTGCAAGAGTAAAATAAAAAGCGCTTATACGTCCCTATTCTCTCACAAACTGCAGCTCCCGTGTACTCCAGCACAGTCTGTTAGTGGTGCCCTCATCGGAGATCTCAAAAGCTGTGCTTGAGCACAATAAACAAATATGGGGAAATGAAATGTTATTTGAAGTTTCTTTAAATCTGAAATTTTCATCCAAAGAATTTCAGTTCGAATGTTTAACATCCTATATGTTTTAGTGACATTATAGCGGATGCACTTAGTCGTCAGTCCGAATACCAATATGACTGAAATATATTCGTCTTCTTTTCTAAATCGATGACGCCATCTTTTTATATGTACACATTGTAGTTATCGACGTGTTTATTATCGTTTCAGACGAAACATTAGTACCAAATTTAACAGTTACTGTTCGAAAAAGGAAAAAATAATTAATGTTAATATTTTTTATTGAGTACGAAGTCTGCTCATGATTATTCGTTGTACATCAAACAGAAAAACAATTATTTTTTACTTATTTTCGTGGAGAAAACGCACAAGTATATATCCAAGAGGTTTCCTTAAAAACAGACGCTTTTGTACTTGTGTTTTCTCCCTTTTAGCTTATTCTTTTCACAATCTGATTGTTTTTTTAAATTAAAACCACTTTCGTTTAAACAATAGAGGCACACCACATTTTTTCTCCGATATTTACTTTTTACGTTGTTCTATTGAGTATTCAGTTAACTCACTGGGATAGATGTAGTACGATGGTAGTTTTTTTTGCTGATTTTTTTTAATTTCTTTAATTTAATTATATCATGACAAATGAAAAAACACACAACGTCATATGTGTATAGCCTCTCAACTTAAATAGTTCTCTTTCTGTTCTACACTTTAACTCTTTTCTGGTCTATGTGCTTTTCTTTGTGATTTGCCAGACTCAAGACCCATAAGGAATAAAATCCTTTTATGAAGTCTGCCTTACAACCGATGAAGCAAAATCTTTTCCTGCTTCTCACTTTAGCCCACATAAAGAAGTAAGTATTGTTCTTTCAGAAAAAGCTCCCTTAGTTCAATTTTTCTCCCATCATTACAACCATTCGTTTC